GGTTGTTTAACTTGAATCATATGTGTTATAACTAAAATACTTTTTGTTGTTATTGGAGATTTTTATGAATTTATAGTTGTTGTTATTGTAGTGATAAATTTTATATGATTATAAGTAATTTTATTATGTTAATTGAGTTTATTAGGTTGAAATAAATTGCTACCTCTAGTAGAAGAAAAAGGAAAAAAAACAAAGTGAGATACTGGACAAGACTGAGACCAGTCTCTTAGTCCTATAGGACCAGTCCAGTCCTATTCAACTTTGGATTATATCAAGACCAGACTAGATCATGAGTTATCTAACTCAGTCTTTTTCATGAAAATGACAAAACTTCGGGTCAAGCCAAAGTATTGTCTGATATATCCTTTGTGCAACTCTACACACACACACATTGATTCCAAATAAAATAAAATTAACTAAAATTATAAAGTGAGTAAAGATGACAAAAAAAATAAGGATGTGTAATATTTCTATAATTAGGATATATAATTTTTTTTTTTGGTTTCCTATAGATATCTTCCTATTGAAATCAATCTTGCTTGGAATCACTAGGCACAAAATTTGAGCACTTCTCCAAGTGAGAATTCAAATTTTGATTTGCTATATTATAAAAAACTTGCCCCCCCCAGAACTAGGATCCTGGCTCGAGACGCAATGGCAAAGCGAAGATCCTTAGCACAAGAAATTTTATTTTTTGTTTATTCCAAATCCACTATTTGTATTTTCTTCTATTTTTTTCTTTATTTCTTAAATTAACTTTTAGCTGCACACTTGAAAGTGCAATGCGTTAGCAAAAAAACATTTAACGAGTTTACTCTTGAATCTTAAATCTTCATTCTTTATTGACTTTTTTTTTACTAGTATTTGGGATAAGGGCAACTAGATTTGGTTTAGTCAAATTAAGGGTTTTTTATTTTTAAAGAATTAATAAATAATATTGGTATTTGAGCTAATAATATTCACTAGGCTTTGAGTTAAAAAATAAAATTTTAGACTTGGGTTAATAAGGAGTGCAAAGTACAAGAATAAGAGGATTCAAACTGTAAAATATAAAAACTCATATCTCTATACATGGCATTTTTCCCATACCCCCCCCCCCCAAAAAAAACTACACGTGGGCTGGGGCTTCATCACAGCACTAAACCCAACATTCATTGGTTTAGTATATGTAATTATTGCCATCGCTACGTTTCGTTTTTGATTAAAACCAGAAGGCCCAAATACAATAATTTTTTCGGCCTGATGAGTGGTGATGATAGCCACTGAATTTGGCACTCCGCATTATGGAGCCCAGAAAAGCCCAAGATAAACAAACCAATTAAAAGTCCAATAACAAGATTGCATCAACTTCAAGTGATACTTAATGCCAATGGGGTCAATACTTCAACGACCCTTGCATGTAATAGTTTCCCTTGGTCCTCTTGAATCACAGCCAAGTTTTTCCTTTGTTTTTCCATACGTTCAATAATTGCATGACATTAAGTATTTAGTTAATTTATCCGGTCCATTATTTTGATCGTTACCGTTCAGTATTATATAATGTGATGTGATCCGAAGTTAAAGGAAAAATGCAAAAGTGTGTACTGCTTGATCAAGATTATCGTAAATGGAAAGGTATAATAGATAGAGATACAAAAATGAGTGGAGTTGAAGATAAAAGTTTAAAGAGAAGAAATTCGATGCAATTAATTAATGAGGTCGGAGGAATGACACTTACACATCAAAAGATTGATTTGATGATATTTACATTACAAAAAAATTATTTAAAAAATAAATTGAAAATATCGATTTAGACAGTTATAATTGAATACCTTAATTGAAATAAATATAAAGTTATATTTACATCACATTTTCTAAATTTGAGAAATTAAAATATATACAATTGAGCCAAAAATATATTAAAATTTAAAAAAATATATGTTCAAATGAGTGAATGACATAAAATTTTAAAGGTTAACATTCATCTTAAAAGACTAACCTATTAAAAAGGAGAGTCTCATAAACTCATAATCTTCATTTCGCTTGTGAAACTTCATGAAATTGGACTCATAATATTGTCCCTTGAGGAAGGTTTGCATGACAATTAAAAAAAAATCATCAACATCAACATCAATGTATGTTATAAAAATAAAATCAGGTGGTACTATTGTAACACTTATAATCTAACCTTATTTTAAGTAAATATATAAGCAAATATATGATGGTAAAAATTAATGGAAAAATTGCAATTAAGGATCTCTTAGGGAAATTTGTTGCCATAAGGACATATCAAATTTGTAGTGGATATTGTCTTGTGAAAATATGTATATGTCGTTATTAAAAAAAATTGAACATTAACTTATTAAATTTATAAGAAAACCTAACAAAAAATGCAAGTTAAAGTTTAGCTCTTAATAACAACATATACATGTTTTTACAAGACAATATATATATTTATTTGATGCAAAACTAATGAGCTCTTATTGTGATGAATTTCCTTAAGAGTCTTCAATGTCATTCTCCCAAAATTAGTCAGTTTGATTATAACATCATAATGGATAAAATTTTAGCAAAATTAACTATTATCAATCAAATGGGCTCCAAATAATAATTTTGAATTAAACACTCCTCTACTTCCATTCAAAAGACAATATTCGTTGGTCCTTTAAGGTTTTTTTCAAAATTAATAAAATATTTATAACTTAGTTTTTAAAAACACCTTTGTCTCTCTTTAACTCCTAGTTTAATTGATAGCTTTTCTATCTTTTCTCCCTCCCCTAATGAATGATTTTATCAATCAACGATGATTTTGAAAAGTTGTAAATTAAATTTTTTTGCAAGCATTTAACTAATTGTAATATTTTTTTTAATCTCATGAACATAGTTGCTAAGGCCTTCTTATAAAACAGACATAGGAAATATTGAAATTCAAATTTTGAATTCCAATATGTTCAACTCTTTAATGACAAAAGTGGAATTAAAATTTTCCCCTACCCAAACTTCAATCCCAATTTCAAATAGGTCATTAAATGGCTTGGAAATAACACCATGATGGTTAGAATTGAATAAGATAGCTAGTTCAACTAATAACAAGTTTTTAGTATAGTCTAACCAACTATAAGAACTAGAGAAAAAGTGAATTAACTAAGACAGAGTCCATCAAAATAATGAAAATTAATAAAATTGGTCAAGAATCAATTTTTCACTTTTTTTAGAAAAATCTCAATAGTCCAAAACAATACTATTTTATGTTTATATATTTTTTGTGATTGGTTCTTCTCCAGTGTTATAAAATGTGTGTGTGTGTGATGATTCAATGGTAATTTTTATTAGTCATGGAAACTTGTATTAATTTGTTACAAAATTAATGTGACATACTCCCTCCATTTTTAAATATAAGCAAATTTTAACCAACTCCCATAGTTTTAAAAAGTTTGTTAATCATACTAATTATGTTTGAAATTGAAAAGTTTAGACTAAAATATCTTGTAAATCTTGGTAAGTTGTGATGAAAACGAATAATATTTTATCATAATGTTGGTAGGATTAATCATAAACTTGCCATGTATTATAAGAAGAATGAATAAATATTGTCTTAAATATTTTTATTTTGCATATATATATATATATATTCTTTAAATTTTATATTACTTTAATTAAAATTGGTCTAACCATGCAAGGTTCAATATCCCGACTAGTTGAATGCTTACTTAGTTCTTCAACATTGAAAATAACTGCTTTGACCCTTGAAATCATTTTCAAACACATTTGTGACAACATGAGAATTTGCAAGTTGCAACATTATATAAAGGCCAGATAACTCCCAACTGTGCTCTTTTCATTCTACACCAAAAAGAAATAAACCCTAAGTAGCTAAGATGTTGGCCAAGTTATTATTAGTTGTGTTTTTGGTTTCTATTGAGTTTTTTCTGATTCCAACAACCTCTCTTGCACATGTGAAGCCATCAATTTACCAACACAAATGGCCTCAATCTGTCAAAGATTCTACACCAACACTGCATGGAAATACAAACTACCATTGATCCAAGCACCACCGCTAAATAACTCTCCACCAAGAGTCAAGCCGCTAAGCACTCTAGAAAATGAGCCTAAAACTAAAGCACATGATGAGGTTCCACCAAAATACAAGCCACCTTCAAAGTACAAGCCACTCAATGCCAATTAGTTGGTGATCATTTTCATCATTGAAAACCTAAATAAAGCATATATTTTATGTGTGTATGTTGGAATAAGACTTCTTTCCACTCACATGTAAATGTAATGTTCCTTTTTAGGGATATCATGAATAAGTACTGCGTACACTTGTGTGTTTGTGCGTACTCCCTATGTTATTGTTATTTAAGAAATATATAATTCAATGCCAATTGATCAACTTTTTCTCCCAATTATTTTACTATCATTTACTATGTTTAATTCTATATATAAATCATTTTTAATTACATCACCACAATCAAATAAAAGTAGTTGAATTATTGATTTTTTTTTGGAGAAGAAACAAGTAAAAAAGAAATTGACTAATAGAAAGGATAAAATTAAAAAAAAATATGAAAGTCTATCTTTTCATTCAAAGTAATTTATATAATTATTTTTAAATAATAATTAAATAAAATTATTTATTTTTTTAATAAAATTCACAAACAATAAAACGTTCTATTTCATTTCATCCCATCCCACTACACTCCATTATATTTTATTAATGGTTGTTCTTTTCATTTTATTATATACTCTTAAATATACCCCAAGTGTATAGTACAGAAACATTTTTAAATGTTTATAATTTTATTTTTAGGAAAATAAATTTGTAAAATATTATTATCATATTTTTTTGCTATTTGTAATCTTATTAAATAATCTTATAATTTGAGATGAATTAAGTATTTTTCAATTATTATATTCATAAATCTTTTATTTTTAACATGTTTTTATCAATTTTTTAAATATTATTTTTTGCCTTCTCCATTCTCCAGAAGTACATTCTTCCCTCCCTCTTCAGTTCACAATGCCGTCCTCATTCTCTTAACTATTGTGCGTATTTCATTCCCATGCCCTACTCATTCATCTCGTCCATGATTTACATTTTCCTATGTGCAAATTGTGGTTCAGCCATCTATCACCGTCAACAATCTAGAGATCCCGAAGCCAGTGTCGATCTAGTCGATCTACCTTAAACTCGTCTTCATAATCAACTTCGCACCTCGCAGCATTCAGATCGGGTATGCATCGATCTGTGCTTCTTCATGTGCAAATTAGGCTTTGATCCTCCTCCTCATAATCGATTTGATCGCGAACGAAGCCCAACTTCTGGACTATTAAGCTTAGGCCCAGAGGTGGAGTCAGGCCCATTTAGAGACTAGCTACGCAATCAGTTTCCTTCCAATTCCATGACTCTGCAGAGCATCGCTGGCTTTCCTTCTCCCTTCCCTGAGCGCGCAAGGGGTGGCTGGTAAAGCTGCGTGTAATTGTAAAGCTAACTTTACTAACCTTCCTGCCAAGCGAATAGTATAGTAGTAATGGTCTATTTAGTTTCCATGCCTCTTTCACTGCACATAAGTGATGGCGTATTCGTTGGTGTCGAATTGGGCAATCTAAGTTGAATATCTTGTCCACCCAAGCTGGATTTTTCAAAATAGATCCACTGATGTTTATGATAATGCAAGGTTTTTGGCTGCCCCTGTTTGGGTAAGTTTGCAGTTTTTTTTTTTGGCTTCTACGGTGACAAAAAACTTGGTGATGTTTTTCTTGGGAACCATGATAAGTGATGTGTCTTGGAGTAAGTTTTTCAATGTTGAGGCATGTCGTTGTTTGTTCTGGCGGAATTGGTTATGGGTTCTTTATCCAGTAAGGTAGTGCAATGGATTTTCAGGTTGTGTATAACAGGGGTATGGTGTTGTGATAGCCATGTATGGTTTAGATGGCTCTCCTTGATGTTATGAGTTGATGGTGCATTCTTGGTTTTCAGGCGAAGGTGAAGAAGGACAACGGTGAGCCGCGAATAAATGAAGAAATCACTGCTCATTTTATCAGGCTTGTTGTTGGTGATGGTAAATATATTACTCGTCCTCATATTCGCTAAGGTAAATCGTTTATTTTTGTAAAATGGTTGCCGTGGTTGTGGGCACGGCACGGCTCTTTTCAGTCTAATAGTGAATACCTTCAGTAAGAATGATTATAATTCAATTGGTAATCAAACATCAACTTATTAGGGTGTGGTTGTATTGGCTGTTAATTACTAATTTGGAGAAGGGGATTGCAAGTGCAGCCATATACTGAGATCAATCATCTTATATTGAAAGGGGTAAACTGCTAAAACTGTGGATTGTAGTTTTAAAAATTTGCAAGAACATAAAGCTACCAGCCAATTTAATGAGATTCGTTCACTCATCATAAACAATTGCTTTCTCTTGCTTTTTTTAAGCAATTGTGGCTAAGATTAACAAGAATATAGTATGGAGCATGCTTAGGAAGTTAGGATAAGACTGGTAAAGGATTTATATTCATGCGCGTATAATAAATGATTGATGTCTGAAACACAGAGTATAGACATGTGTGGTATTATACTATTTTAAATTAACAATGGAATTGCAAAGATCAGTACTTGCATATCTGGGAGCTTGTTAATGTGCAAGCAAGTTTTTGTATTAATGCAGGACATTCAATTGTTTTGAGGCTTGAAGCACTGCAACGCACTAGGAGGCTCAAGCTTGATTTGGTGGAGGTAAATTTTTTAGGTCTTTTTCCATGCTATCTGAGAATTCAAATGCGTAAACAGAAGCACTGAGTTGAAATGGGCAATGAACAAAATATTTTAGTATGCTGAAGGCTTTATTGATTTTGGCTATATTTGTGGAACTATTAAAGTATTGTGTGAGGGTTGGACTTTGAGTCTTCAATCTTAAGATGAGGAAGAGAGACTTTGTCTAATTTCATTTGGCTATAAATTTTGAGCAAAAATAAGAAGCTCTATTTTCTTTCAATGAAAAGAAGTATCTCTCATATTTGGGCTATATACTTAACTTATATAATGGTCACCTCACCTCTTTGCTGACATATAATTTTTGTTTTTCTCAGAAACTCTGAGCACTATGTTTAGCCTTGTAAAAAAGAATATGGGTAGAATGGTTAGATTCAGCACATAAGAACGGTTCTACTGGCATTCATAAATTATACTATGTATATTAGATTTGTTTTTCTCAAATCTTTCACTGCAGCCTCTATGATTTTGATAATGTTGTGCAAGTTCAGAAAAATGCAAAACCATCTGATCTGCAAAATTATGGACTACCACAAGGAAAAGTACAAACAGAAAGAAAGGGAAAAGGAGTGTGCTAATTGCAAGGCACCATGTGCTTGCTGCTGTTTACTAGTAGAAATTATAGATGAAGATTAGGATTTTGTAAAAGAATAGGAGGGTATAATTTAATATTTTGTACCTATTTTTGTTACTCTAATTTAAAAAGATAGTTCTCATGTATATGAGTTGTTTTAATGTTATTTATTGTGTCGCATAATTCATATAGCCGACGTCACCTAATAGGATAAGGTTTGTTGTTGTTGTTTTAATATATTATTTATCACATGCTGTCAGAGTTGAGTTTGAGAAAAAGGGGTGGCAAGGAAATGTGCTTTTTCACAAATGCTGTAAGTTCGCTTTCTATATTCCTTCTTCCTTACTACATCTTTGTTTCCTGTCATTCTATGTTGAGTTTCTTTGTTATCTAATGAACTTGAAGAAAAGGTAAATTTCTTGTTTTGACATTTTCATCTTATCTTCTCAGGAATTATAAGACCTGAAGATGAAAGCAGATGTGGTTAAAAAAATAATGGAGAAGGGCTACCCAGTGAAGGTACTTTTCTACCTCCACATGTGATATTTAATTGGTTTTTGTTCTGGGTGTTCCTATTGGACAAACAGAAGAAAAAAAGAGTAGGCTGCTCATGGATAGTATTTCTTTGAATTTTAGTATATCTGTTTGTTAGGCAAGGTTTAGGTATGCATCTGATTTGCTAATCATTAAATGCTCATAGGTCATTTGATCTAAATTATGATGTGCGATGCTATTTCCATATCTCCCCACTCAGAAGTTGACACCGGAGCGTAAAAAACCCAGTAAACAACGTCTTGCCAATATCTGCATTGTCAAATCCATCCTCAAAGCTTCCTCCATTGGTCAAATTTCACAAGCTGTTTCTTCTTTGGACCTCTTAGTTATCAAAGGCATTCGCTTACCATCCCGCATTCTCGCACATCTCTTACAGCAGTGTGCAGAGACTAAGTCTTTCAGAGAGGGCAAACTAGTTCATCTTCATCTGAAGCTGACTGGTCTGAAACGACCCACAACCTTTTTAGCTAACCATTTAATATATATGTACTTCAGGTGTGGGCATCACATAGAAGCATGCAAAGTGTTCAATAAAATGGAGGTGAGAAATCTGTACTCATGGAATAGTATGCTTTCTGGGTATGTTAAATTAGGGATGATAAATCAAGCTAGAAGATGGTTCGATGAAATGCCTGAGAGGGATTGTATATCTTGGAATACAATGGTCATTGGTTATGCACAGAATGGGAACTTTGATGAGGCTTTGGGGTTTTATAGACAGTTGAGAAGATTGTCTATAGGCTATAATGAATTTAGTTTTGCAGGTGTCTTGACCGCCTGTGTGAAATTGAAAGAATTTGAACTTTCAAGGCAGATCCATGGGCAAGTTTTAGTTGCTGGATTTTCATCCAATGTGGTTATATCAAGTTCACTTCTTGATGCATATGCAAAGTGTGGTGAAATGGAAGATGCTAGGAGGTTATTTGATGAAATGCCCCTCAAGGATGTTTTTGTGTGGACTACATTAGTTTCAGGTTATGCCAATCAGGGGGATATGCAATCAGCTACTGAACTTTTCCATCAGATGCCTCAAAAGAATTCTATTTCATGGACATCTTTGATTGGCGGTTATGCCAAATTGGGTTTGGGTCATGAAGCACTTGAAGTTTTTAGAAAGATGATCATGCATCATGTTAAACCAGATCAATTTACATACAGTAGCTGTCTATCTGCTTGTTCAATCAGCGCTTCATTCAAACTCGGGAAACAAATACATGCTCATCTAGTTCGAAATAACATCAGAATTAATAATATTGTTGTTAATGGTATTATTGACATGTACTCAAAATGTGGCAGCATGGAAAATGCCAAGACAATATTCCATGTCATGGGAGATAAGCAAGATGTGGTGATTTGGAACACCATGATTGCTGCACTAGCTCACCATGGTTATGGTATGGAAGCAATTTTGTTGCTGAAAGAACTGCTAACATCGGGGGTGAAACCAAACAGGGTCACTTTTGTTGTCATTCTAAATGCATGCAGTCATTCAGGTCTTGTGCAAGAAGGAATTGAGTTTTTCAATTCCATGAATCGTGATCATGCTTTAGTTCCAGACGAAGAACACTATGCATGTCTTATTGATCTTTTGGGGCGAGCTGGATGTTTCAATGAATTGATGAAGCATCTTCAGAAGATGGATTGTAAACCAGGCGAACATGTTTTGAATGCGTTGCTTGGTGTGTGTAGAATTCATGGAAATATAGACATAGGAAGAGAAGCAGCCGAACACCTTATTGAATTGGAGCCTAAATCTTCTGCCGCCTATGTTATGCTTTCAAGTGTATATGCTGTACTTGGAAAATGGGAATTGGTGGAGAAAGTAAGACAGCTTATGGATGAGAGACGTGTGAAAAAAGAACTGGCCATTAGTTGGATTGAAATTGACAATGAGGTCCATGCTTTTACTGTATCTGATATATCACACCCTCTGAAGGAAACCATATACTTAGTTTTGGGGCACTTGAGTAACCAGATGGAAGACAATGTCTCGTTACCAAAGATTCCTTTGTGAAAGTCAGTGATCTTTTTAATCAGTAGGTCATTTTCTGGAAGAAGAGTTCCCTTAACGTTATTCTTTTCTTTATTGATACCAGATTTTGTAGCACCAAACCTCACATAGGTGATAGGCCTTTGATCGAGACACAAATAAGTCTTCACATTGACATACTCAAAAGACCTTGCCTTTAGGGAAAAAGAGCGAGGGATGGAGGGGAAGGGAATTAATGTAGGGAAGGCTTGTAGATTTCACGAAAGCTGTTATGCTTCCTTTTATTCCCAAATTTTTTGTGTATTTTTCTTTCAAATGATGAGGTAAATTTCAAGAAGTTAGTGCATCATTTTCCCCCCTTTCCCAGGAAATAAACATTAGCTTAAGAGAGGTTGTATTAGTTGGTAGCACCACAGGATTTGCTATTTTCAAACTGGAATAGAAATATTTGACTGTTATTACTTTTGGAGGTTCAGGGACACATCCTAGATCCAAGGGTTGTGGTGGTTGATTGGATATTAGTTAAATTTTGTTAAAATGTGATTTTGATTAATATAATGTGAGAGTATCTTTAGCATCTTGAAGTGAATCAAAAGGAAAGATCTTGCAAGAGTCCTAGTCATATTATTGATTGATTAATATTTTTCTCTTTCAATTTTGGTTCTAATATCAAGTTTCCTCGGCATTGCCGACCCTCAATATATCTCTTCAGTGTATAATCTCACGAGAGTCATTTTACATGCAACCGAGAAGTGTTGACATGTACTGCAACATGATGTCTCCGCTAAAGGTTTTCTCACATTAACATTACACTTCTCACGTGATTATAATATTTAGAAGCGAAAAATTATGTTTGATTTTTATTTTTAAAATGTTTTCAGTTTTCTAAAACAAAAAGAAAAACTTGTTTTGAGCAAGTATTTTGAATTTAAATGTTTTAAAACTATTCTAATTTTTTATTTTTGAAAATAAAAAATAGAAACGTCTTTAACAAAATTCGTTTCTTTGTTTTTAAAACATGGTAACATACTAATCTATCTATTGGAAATTACTGCTACTAATCTCTGCTGCTATTGTTGTCAAGTATTGTCAACCAACATTCATCATCGACTATAACTATTGATTGTTGCTGTCAACTACCATCACTAGCAATAAGGGGCTGAATCAGGGTCAATGTTACGGTGGCATCAAAAAATTTTAATAGAAAATAAATAATTATATAATATATGAAAAAAAATTAAGAATTGGCAAAGTAAAATTATATACTCCTTTATAAATTATTTTTAACATGTTTCACTAAAGCTCATGAAAATTTTAAAATTCAATAATTTTGTATAAAAATTTAACAAGTTTTTAATTTTGTTTTTATTAAATATATATGTTTTAATAACAAATTTTTTCACTAGAATTTCATAAGGATAAAAGAATAAACTTATGATAAAAAGTCAATGGCATATTTGTAAATGCATTTTTTTTATCTTATTTATAAGTCACTTCTAACATTTTCACTGAAATCAAGTAAAATTTTAAATTTTATTAACTCTATCTAAAACTTTAATAAATTTTTAAATTTATTTCTATTAAATATGTATACTTTTAAAAATAAAATACTTTAATATTTAATAACCTCCTTAACATTTAACAGAGGTAAAAGTGTGAAGTTGGATATAATAATCATTAAGATACCTTATAAATAGAACTAAAATAAATATTATTCTCCTATCATATAAATAGGATCAAAGGAATAAAAAAAAAAATTTCTCTTTTCGTCTTATATTAGAGAGTGTGTGTGTATATTAATCATAAAAAAATATGATAGGGAACACTCTTATTAACAATTTGTAGTTTTCAATCCTTATTCCAAAGCTAAATGCGCACCTTATTACCTTTGCAATGCCACATCATCAATCATATGCAAGCCTCTATAATTGTACACTAATATATGTGTGCCTTTGTGTGAATAGGGAACTTGGAAGTTTATCGTCTTGCTGCAATTCCCTGTGTTATGAAATGGCGGAACTTTTGGGGACCTTGCCAGCAGTTACTACTGCAGCCAAGTCTAGCCATCATTGGTCACCTTGGATTGCAACTATTCTCAGCCATGGCCAACTATACTAAAAATCATCGCCATTAACCAATATCAATCATTGTCAGTTGATCTTTTTAACTCAAATTATTTTTAAATTAATGTATTCAGACAAAATTTCCTTTTGTTTTGAAAAACAATTTTTAAAAAGTGATATATAAAATAGTTTTTTAAAACAAAAAATGAGAACAAAATCAAACAAACTCAAATAACATGGGCTGGATCTTTAATAATTTGATACACAGCTTTGGGAATATGGCCTAGCATTTTGTTGGTTAGGTGGGAGCTTGCCTGCAAAAACTATAAGGAAAAACACACGAAAGTCCCATATATGAATTTTAATATTTTAAAAATCTCATGAAATGTACAAATGATTTTTTGGTAAATGCTGGAAGGGATGTGAATGTTTGGAAGGTTTTGTTGTTGTTGTAAATACATGTTAAAATTTAATTACAACGAAAATTCGTAAAATTTTAAAATTATTTATACATTTCATAAGACTTTTAATATTAAAATTCATACTCCAGAAAAACCTCGTCCAACCCGCACAAATGCAAGCTGGCAGCTAAAATGACTTATTTATTTATTTTTATTCATTTCTAATGATTGAAGTGATAGCTTGTCCATCCAACAAAATCAGCCATCATTTTTTTTTTTTTTTACCTATGACCCTCATTTCCCAATTCAGGTACTTCCTTTTGCCTTGTATGTAAATGATAACTGTCAAAATTTTAGTGTTGAACACAAACAAATTCTACAAATTTTCGTATGTATTTTTGTAAAGGTTTTTTTTTATTATTTTCTATTAGAAACAATCTTATTAAAGACACTTTGTAAATGTTTTTTTCTTTTTTAGTTCTACCCCTTAAAGGATGATGCATACGCACTTAATGGTGCATTTACAAATTTATAAATTAATAAATTGTATTAAGCATTAATAACAAGAATATTTAAAACAAATTTTGACCAGGATTTTTCACCATTTAATGCTCTAGTCTTCCCATATCAAGCAGCCCTGTTCTTTATTTTAAACAGAATTTTTCCATTGTCTTTGTTCAAAGCATCAGTCAAAGCTGATCCGGGATGTTCATAAATTAGCCATTTTTTCCTCTTTTGTAGCCCTTAATATTATGTAGAATTGTTCTTTCTTTAATTCCCCTTCCATTTAAAGACTTGCTAAACCTTATGTATTCTAACTTTTTTTTTACTTGATATTTTAATAAAAAAGCAAAAATATTTCAGCAAAAAATTAATCTTGCGTGAAATTAAAAAAAAAAACAAACTTTTTTAAATCTTCGATTAAATATTGTGCTGAAATTCATAAGCCCTCACAATCACACATAGCTAGTAATTATCTCAATAAGCTTCATTGGTTAGCAGTGCTGAACCAGAATTGCAGATAACTAATCATCGTCATTAACAATAATAAAAACAAAGAATCAGCCAATCAGGGAGGGAATGGCTTGAAACCTTCGTTGACCATTTTGTCCAATGGTCCAAACAGAGGTTTCGGAAGATTTCCCCCATTCATACCACTCCCATCCATCACACTTGTTTGGTTCCATGTTCTTCGGTTCTTCATCTGCACCAGCCGGTTCGGCTCGCATCAAGATGGTCACGTAGTGACACGGCTTCGTTTCGTCGGAAACACGTTGTTCGTCACCTTTATGAACTCCGTTTTCGCGATCTCCATTCCCGTCTCCTCCTTCACTTCTCTGATTGCACATTCCTCGAAGCTCTCGCCTGAACCCAGAAGAAAGAAAATTCAAATTTCCCGAAAACAAACAGGTACAATCATCAAGAAAGAGAAGGGGAAAGAGAGTGACCAAACTCCAGGTGGCCGCCGGGAAGAGCAAAAGTCGAGTTGCCGACGGAGGAGCTTCGCCGCCGACCTAGGAGTACAGATCTTCCCTTCAGGAGGAACACCACCACGCTCACCCTCGGCCCCGGCGCCGCCGCGTCCTGATCATTCATCTTTTCGAAGCCACACAGAGTCTTTGACTGTGTCTTGTGCCGTTTTTGCCGTTCCGCTTCATCTTGATCTTATAGAAGCGACCATCGCGACGGTGTCGTTTCATGCGAAATTGCGAATGTTTTGGACTTTGGTCATACGTACTATTCCACATGCAAAGTCAAAAAGTTTTGGAAATGCGTGAAGTGCCGCGAGTCCCACTTCTCAGCTATATAATATAAACATTTGCATGTGTCTCCCTCAATACTTGGTTGACACGTAATACTTTTGTGGGTGCTTTACAGAAAATAAATAATTAAAATTTCCAATTCTTGGGCTCCAAGCCTTGTGCTTTCCTCTTTGTTTCCAGTGCCCCGTGTAAACTCTAATCAATGTCTTAGTAGAGAGATTTAATATATATAATAAAATTTTCAATTCTTGGGCTCCAAGCCTAGAGGCTTCCTCTTTCTTCCAATGCCCATATAAAATATAATTAATGTATTTGATAGAGATTAATATGTATAATAGGGTTAAAGCATATTTTAATTTTTAAACCTTCAACTTAATATTGATTAAGTTCCTAAAATTGTGATAATTTATAAATCTTTTTTCAAAGTTTATAAGTCATCCTTCAAAATTTTATAGCCAATATAAAAAAACATTCATTTATAAATAACAGATATATTAGTTAAGTTATATTTTTTAAAAAATGTGTAAATATCAAAAGTTGACTTATAAATTGTGTGTGAAAATTTGTAAAATAAAAATACTATTTTTTTAATTATTTGTTGGTACTGTTGCTAACAATGTAATTCATTAATTACTGTAAGGTCACCCTTATTAATCCAACTCTTAGACAACTCAACCCCTAGTAATCTTGAAATCAACATAAGAGGATTATCCAACTATGATTAACCATCTACAAGTAATTCAAAAACTAAAAGTACTTCTTTTGAAAATTGGGATCCCAAGTTTAAGTTTTAGTAAAACCAATCAAAAGTGAATCTATCAAGTCAAAATTCAAGAATAAATAATTATGGAAGTATGTGATATCATTTGATAATAAAAAAAACTTAAAACTAGTTGAAAAACATTAGAGTGGAAACATAGGAACGCGCGTGACATGTGCATATGCATTGTGGCTTGTTCTTCTTTGTGTCGCATGCCGCGATGTAGACGCTATACGTTGCAGTACGCTGTACAAAATTTTGACAGTAAAGAAATATCATTTGATAGCCCACAGGCAATTCCAACGTATTTCATTTCTCCATCCATGACATTAATCAAGGTGATGTAGATGTTTAAAAAAACTCTTTTTATAACATTCAGGAAAATTTAATCCTGATTTATTAATCTAATGAGGGTAATTAGTGAGTTAATGAGATGTTGTGATCAGAGGAGCTTAACTTGGTGTATTTGTGGTG